GTTTACGTAACTGTGACGTCACTTCCGGATAGCACCAGACATTATGTAATTACAGTTGCCCATCGTCAGCCTGATGTAGTTTTCGATATCGTTAGTTTGTCATTTCGGCCGCTATTGTGCAGCTGCATGATGGGGTTACTAGATAGTCGAATCGTGAACAGAAAATCTAGAGATTTACGTCATGAACATGAATCTACGCTGCTGAGATAGGCCTACGTGACAACTGCTGTCAGCGAGTGTGATCATCACATCCCCTTAGTCATTTATTAAGTTAATAGGTTTCCTTATCCGGAATCGCAAATGGAAAATATTTTGAAACCGATTCCGTCGAAAGTTAATTCTTGACCAAGCTCCTACCAAACACTAGTCTGCATTTATTTGTTGTCGACCGTCGTGTCGTCCAGACGGGAGCTGACAGGTATTCCGTTGCTGTGGAGATGGTGTCTATCTTTACTCCATCGTTGTCGATGGAGCCTCAGACCTCATGATCACTAAATAACATGCGAGTAATAAAGGAGCAAGTTTACAGACATAAAATGCAGCACCATTGGTCAAAATGGGTGGCAGCGGCATTATAACATAGGCACTATTACAAACGTCAGTGCATTTGGGAATGTTGAGGTGCTGACGTGCCCAGTTCTTGAATCGAAACGTCGGTGTTTCCCGCAGGTATCCCGTCCCCACTGGGCAAGAATATGATCTCACTAGATTCACCTAAGTACTCGTGGAGATCCGGGTTAGAGCTGGTCTTCAGCAGTTCATGCTTGAAGTAAGCGGCGACTTACGGGATTGAGTGTTTAGGTTAGTATAACCCCAATATGTAAAATCAAGACAATATGTAAAAACTAACGCAATATGTGAAAACCTAGCGCAAAACGTAAAACATAACGCAATATATAAATAAATAAGGCAATGTGTTAAAAATGCCTCTAACGCAAAACGTAGAATATGTTTTAACTTAATATTTAAAAAAATAAAGCAATATGTAAAATCCAGTTTTAGGTTCGAATAGTAGGGGTTGCAATTTTTTTCACAAATTTTGGCAAAAACTGACTATACTTACAAAAACTAACATATTGCAATGTTTTGGACAAAATAAACATATTTTTACTTGTATATTGAGATAATTTTATCGATCTTATAGTTTATTTTCGAAAGTTTTAAAAGAATGATGTTATTCTTCAAACTCTGTTTACATAAATGACAATTTGGGTTTTATTCATTACATCTTATTCAAACTGTCCATTCCGTTGTTGATAATCTGTGATACCGAATTGGGTTTTTAAAGAAAACCACTAAATATTGATCCTTCTTAATTTGGTTTGAAATAACATGCATGTTGTTGTAATGTTTCCAATTTTACTTCATTTTTTATGGGAGTTGGAATTAATTGCAATTGGAACTTGGCATCGAGATGGTAACTCTGACCATTGGACTTCGGACCTAGCAACTGATCTAGGAGAGAGCGCCAATAGTTATGATTTGACTATGTATATGAAACAACGATGGGCGGTTTAAGGGATACTGGAATGGTTCCTAACTGCGTGCATCTTGACCCGCAATAGCTTTAATTGCGGATGGGAAACAACCCCAACTGAGAAGAAGATATTCAAATGTGTACTTCTATTCAATGACGTATAATGATATAAAGGTATGAATAAGGGCATCTGTTTAATAATACTAAAAGGAGAATAAAATGATATGGCTTGGCAATTTGTTCTCTCTCTCTCTCTCTCTCTCTCTCTCTCTCTCTCTCTCTCTCTCTCTCTCTCTCTCTCTCTCTCTCTCTCTCTCTCTCTCTCTCTCTCTCTCTCTCTCTCTCTCTCTCTCTCTCTCTCTCTCTCTCTCTCTCTCTCTCTCTCTCTCTCTCTCTCTCTCAAATTGATGTGGCAATTTGACCGTACCGACGGTTTACAGACTTTATTATTCTACTGGCATTAAAATACTCTGTTGCGGAAGTCAAACGCACTGAATAGAGGTAGGCAGTGATATTTTTTTCTATGACAAGATCTGGTAGAAATGGAACCGCAATAACTTCACTGTCCCTCTGCTCTGTAGAACTTTCTGTCTCACAGTCCCATTGCTCTGGACCACTTTCTCTCTCACTGTCCCATTGCTCTGGAGCAATTTCTCTCTCACTGTCCAATTGTTCTGGACAATAATCTGAACAAACTGGTCTCTCAACAAAAACAATGCAAAGAATAGGAAAACAAACTACAAGCAAACTGATATCTGCAGAACTTCAAGTTGAACCTTCTTTACCGTACCAATATCATAAAATTGATAAACTACTTCTTGAGATATCGCACAAACCAGTTGTTTTGACGGATTGAGGGTAATTTTATATCCCAGCTATGCCCCATTCTTTACCATAAACCAATATCAAAAAAAAAAACCTCCTTCAATAGGACAATGAAGACAACCCATATGACCATACATGTACAGTTGATATTTATGTACGGATACTGTCGATAATAGATTATGATATCAAGACGGACCTCTATAGATACATTATATTATACAATTATAGGCATTTTGTAATGGCCTATAGATCAGATTTCAATTAAATTAGAAATGAGTTAATTTGACAGAATTATTGCAATATCTTAGTTATTTTGAAAAACAGGTAAAGTTTCTAAAAATCAATTTCAGTCGCCAGGACATATAAACAACAAAAAAGCTGGATTTTAATACTCCGTTAATCTTTTACAAATTGCGTTAAACATTGTTTTTACATTTTGCGTTAGGTGTTTACGTATTGCGTTAAAGACATTTTTTACATTTTGCGTTAATTTTTTTACATATTGCGTTAGTTTTTACAAACTGTCTTGATTTTACATATTGGAGTTGTACAAGGTTCACTGACGTGGTTCAAACGACACAACGAATCAAAATTGCGTAGATCGATGAACATGATTTTACTCACTGGACTCCAACACTGGACTGTTATACTTTTGGGATTTTTCTAGCACTTTTGTTGGGTTGAGTCTCCTCAGAGGCAGACACCTAATCGCCAGCACACAAATTCAGCCTTCTAACTCACTCAGCCACCGCTGCTTCCACAAAAATGGAAATCAGACAACTTGAAGTCTAGACCATGAATTTGTGTACCCCTCTAATAAGTGTAAATAAGCACGACTCCCACGGCCGAACGCTACAAATGATCAATGCCATTTAGAATGCCATTTGGTCAAATTTAACACATGGTATATCTGGGATTATCTGTCTCATTAAAGCACAGATTCTAGTATTTGTGATTTGTGTTGGGTTGAATCCCATCCGGGACTCAAACGAATGTGAAATATGCACTTTTGTGTTGAGATACACAAATACTGACATTAGTATAAGTGCCAGCACAAATATATTCATCATCACTCTCATTTTTTGTTTGAACATGACTGTTATTGTTGTTTTTTCATGTCGATGGCAAAATAATTTTATCTATTTGCGTTGACCGTTTTAATGGGTGCAATGTGACGATCCATATTTCATCAATAGTTGAACAGGTCCTTAAGTGTTTTTCCAATTAATTTTTTCATGTCGTCAAGGGCCCATTTACTTGGAAAATATTTGCATCCAAACTGAATGCGTTTGTTTTTTGTCGACTGGGGAGAAATCACTTATTGACGCTGGGAAATGTATTTGTTTATAGAAATATATTGTTAATGGTGGTAAATACATGAACGCTACATGTGCTACGTTCGACATATCCGTTTACAAAATATTGCACCTTCTAATGAACGTATAACATCTTTCTGACTGACTGACTGAGTTTGGTTTTACGCCGCTTTTAGCAATATTCCAGCAACATCACGGCGGGGGACACCAGACTGACTGAGTTTGGTTTTACGCCGCTTTTAGCAATATTCCAGCAACATCACGGCGGGGGACACCAGAAATGGGCTTCACACATTGTGCCCATCTGGGGATTCGAAGCCGGGTCTTCGGCGTGACGAGCCAACGCTTTAACCACTAGGCTACCCCACCGCCCCGTATCTTTCTGACAGTATCCTCAGTCATAGAGCATGTTAAGTAATACAAACTCAATTCATGGCTGTTGAAGGTTCTGGTGTTCCCAGCCGATATATTGCTGAAATATTGCTAAAAGCGGCGTAAAACCAAACTCACTCACTCACTCCAATGGGACCGACCCTGTTCAATATCCGGGTTAGAATTGGTCTTCAGCAGCCCATGCGTGTCGCAAGAGGCGACTAACCGGATTGGGTGGTCATGCTCGCTGACTTGGTTGACACATGTCCTCGTATGCCAATATCATATATCGATGCTCATGTAGTTGATCACTGGATTGTCTTGTCAAGTCGTAATATTGCTGAGTGCGGCGTTAAATAACAAACCAACCAATTCAGTGGAACCTTGTTTACAGACGTGGCATACTATTAGCTCACTTGGTGTCTTATAATCTACCCGAGAGAGCTACAACATCTCAGCTTGGGAGACGCAATTGGTCATAGTTCAAGGCAACCTGACAGCACAACAATACATTGACCAGGTGATTCGCCCAGTTTCCTTAGGTTAATCAACACCATAGGACATTATTTCAACAAGACAATGTTCAGCAGGATTGTGACAGACTTCATGGGAGCCAATAACATCAACATTTAGCCTTGGCCGTCTCGTTCCCCTCTCACCAATAGAACGTCTATTGGCCTTTCTGGGAGAAAAATCAGAATACGACAAAATACCCAAGCAAACCGGAGACAAATGGGACAGGCCATTAATGAGGAATGGCGGAATATCCCAGATGCCTTCATCAGACATCTTTGTCCTTCGATGACAGGTTTTTACGTTCTAGATTTTTTATATTTTCTTAAATTGACATAAATGAAATTGTTCTCGTCACGATATGGCTGAAATATTGCCGATGTGACGCTAAATTATAACTCACTCCTCACTCATCAGACGTCTCACGTCAATGAAACGTCGACTACTTGCATGTAGCAATGCAGAAGGTACACACAAGATACGAAGCAATGCACACCTAAACGCTGACAAATGTGTTTTAATCTGGAGTTCACAGATATTGTTCCAGCACAACTGAAAACATGTAACTTTGCCTTTTGATACAGTGTCATTTAATTAAATGTTGCTTAAATATTGATGTTGTAATAATGTTTAGCAAGTGGCTTTCCTATCAACATAAACAGATATGAAATCAAATTTTATGTGTTGATGTTTAGTAAGATTTTTAGCTTAGGCCTTGACCATTTGGCCTTGAGTGTATATATGTTATAAATACAGGAAAAACATTAGACAACATCAGTTAAACGTTTCCTATTTGAACTGAAAGCAACAACCATTTTGAAACAGCTCATCGGATGCGTGTAATACACATGCAGTATGTGTCCAATGAACAGAGAATTAAACATGACAAATTAAACGTGCCGAAGCGATCAGTGAACAAAGAGATCAAGCAACTGCCAAGTTTCAAGCGAACGTCAAAGAGTATACTCCAGCAAGGATTACTTTTTCTCTAATCTTGGCCTCAAGCTTTCTATTTCAACTGGAGCAATGGTAGCACCTGACAATCACTCTCGAATGACGGATCGGAATGATTTTATCCCCTCTTCCCCTACATATGAATTAGTTGGTTATTTGATGTCTTGCATAACGCCGTACTCAGCAATATTCCAGCTATATGGCAGCGGTCTTTCTATAATCGAATCTGGACCAGACAATCCAGTGACCAACACCATGAGCACCGTAACGCAATATATGTCAACAAGTCAGCCAACCTGCCCGCCCGATCTCGTTAGTCGCCTCTTACGACAAGCATGGGTTGCTGAAGATCAATTGTAACCCAGCTCCTCACTGGTCGAAATATGAATTAAATGTGCCGTGTACGGCTGATATAAACTTGAAATAAACCGCTGTGTCCATTGTGTTCCTTCATTTGGATTTCCTTGCTGTATCACAGAACTGGTCATCAGCATTGTAAGTGGGTTGTACACAAAGTGCGGAACTCCTCACTGTTCTTGGTAACCTGAAATATTAAGATTTATACGAGTGAGTGAGTGAGTTTAGTTTTACGCCGCTTTTAGCAATATTCCAGCAATATCACTGCGGGGGACACCAGAAATGGACTTAACACATTGTGCCCATGTGGGGACTCGAACCCGGGCCTTCGGCGTGACGAGCGAACGCCGGAACCACTAGGCTACACCACCGCCCCAAGATTTATACGAAACAACTATACTACCAATCAAAACTTTAGACTCACTAGTGTAAATGTAGCTACTTACTTCATTCAACTGTTCTAAACTAGATTTTACAAAATATTCCATTCTGTTAAAGGTACTGTTCACACATGGACTGATGTATTGTACAACAAATTCGTAACTTTGAAAAGATTAGTGCCATGAGTTCAATTAATGAAAAAACTCAGTGAAAAATCGCAAATTCTTGACAAACGTTTACACCAAAACACAGCTGTTAACATGCACGATATTTTCACATGCTTTTCAGCAATTTGATGCATGATCCTCGTGCATAAGGTTTGCAGTTGGTTCACCCAAATTAGTGGAGAAATTCATCTTCGATGTAACCACATAGATATATATACATAACATATAGCGAGTACTTTAAGTGAGTCTAAACTTTTGATGGGTAGTATATATGAAAGTGTGCTGAAAGTATGTATCTTCCTTTACATATGTTGTCAGCATAATACTTTAATATGAAACAACACGCTTTAGTAGGGGACCCAATGACGCTTGTTCTTGTTGTTTTACAACAATGTTCAGTTATATATGACGACAGTCTGTAAATGCTTCTGTGGACCAGCCAAACCAACGATTGACATCAACGCAACAAGGAAACGACTATTAGTATAAACAAAGCCAGGGACTTCTTACGGCAGGCCAATGCCAATTCTTCTTTTAAAGTATTTCGGTTTGTTTGTTGCTTAACGATGCACTCAGCAATAATTCAGTGAGTCTGGATCAGACAATCCAGTGATCAGCACCATGAGCATCGATCTACGCAATTGGGACACGATGACATGTGTCAACCAAGTCGGAGAGCCTGACCACCCGATCCCGTTAGTGGCCTCCCAGCTTATTGTCTGGTCCAGACTCTTATTTACAGGACGCCGTCACATAGCTGGAATATTGTGCGGCGTTAAAATAACAACTAACCAAGCATCTACATGGTTGGTAGGGATTAATACCTGGGAAGTTACAAAATACGTACTAGACAGTTACAGGTCAATCTCGGCTTCTCCGCCGCCATCACCGCCCGTGAAGTAACGACACAGACAGGCGATGACAACGTACAGGATGATCATTATCACGGCACCTCCACTGACTGAACCACCAAGTAATACGCAGACTGAAACTGAAAACACATGGTGAAGTGAGTGGTGGTGAGTGAGTGATGATGAAGTGAGTGGTGGTGAAGTGAGTGAGTGAGTGAGTGAGTGAGTGAGTGAGTGAGTGAGTGAGTGAGTGGGCTACTATAAAAGGCTACCACCAAACAGTTCGTAAGTGACCCCTTGTGCGATAACCCCAACCACACACACACCGCACACACACCCACTGCCCTGAATCCCAAATACTGACGGCATAATCTAAATCACCTCTCTCACTCTTAATCTCGAATTTAACAAAATCTCCAAAAGCACTGCGAAAAGGTGCGATTCGATGTTAACTCATTGAAAAATATATATTTTATAACTTGGTATTAATCTCAACAAAACAATTGAATCTCTCAAAGCATTGGGAAAAGTGCAATTTGATGTTGGTTTATTGAATCTGTGAATCCCAAACCGTTCGATCTGTGTCCTGAATATCCCAGTGATGACGCACTGAAGATTCAGTATGAATCGTGTATTACGAGTATTTTAGGGCTGGCTAAAATGATTGATAATCGGAAATATCATCGATAGGTAAGATCATTAGTAATTATCGATTTGAAAATTGTGTTTTCGATAATATCGTAAAATAATTTTTGTGAAAGTAAAACGTTTTAGCTTTTTGGCACACTATAGAAATTTAGAACTATATTCATGTTTTTTACTTCTAAATTATGTTCAGGACGCGGTTTTCTTAATAATCCATGCAAAAGTCACCACTCACCAGTGATGTAAAATATAATATTCTTTCAGATTGTTTTGTTGAAGTTACATCTCCGATATTTATCGATAATCAATCGATATTTAACAACGATTATCGATCTCTACGATCTATATCGATAACCAGACCTAATAGCGGCACTGATCATACATACAAATCAATAATTAATTGTGTATCTCAGAACTGAATAGAAACGTACCTTTTTTCTTCTTCCTCCTCGGGCGGTTCACAGCATTCACCAGGACAACACCCATATTGACATCGCGCGTACTTGGCATGTCTTTTACTGATTTCAAACCTGCAGTACTCGGCAGTGACGACTGCAACAGATGAACGGATATCATCACATACATTTTGAATGTATTTTAATATAATAGATGACAGAGAGCGTTTCGAAAAGATAGACCATCAAAGGTCGATTAACCAAAAATGCAATTTGAGCTTCACACAAAGCTGTATTTTTCGGAGAATCTTTAAATTTAAGTGTGTGTGTGCGTGCGTGCGTGCGTGCGTGCGTGCGTGCGTGCGTGCGTACATACGTATGTGGGATTGTGACTGTACTGTTGACATGTTGTAATTTAATCATATATCAACCGCCCCACTTTGAGAGTCACGGTAAAATACAGCATATCATCAGAACAAACTCATAATCTAACATTTGTCACAGTAAAACAAAAACAATCCGGCTCAATATTACTGTTACATACTTAAACGTTCACACACTTCTCGTATTCCCCGCCGTAATATTGCTTGACAATTGCTCAAAGCGGCGTAAAACCATCCTCACTCACCACTCGAGGTTGCCTCCCTTCGGCGCGTCAGTAACTTGTGACATGGGTTTGGGCTCGAGTCCTTTATATCTCTTGATTACGTTTCTTGGTCTTTCTTGTTACTGGGTTTAACAAGTGGTAATGTCTTGAACCTATATCTCTGAAAGAGTCTGACTAACGAGTCAATCTTACACGGCGTAAGTCAACCACGCTTACCGTTCAGAATGGCCACCAGCAGCATGTAACAGCCGAGGTAACATTTTGACTGAGTAGATCGTGAACATTTGTTGCTGTACCTACAGTGTTAATGTGGATGGCGATACGCGACATCTCTGAAGCTACACTGGGTATGAAGCAAGATCCGTTACAACTTATACGAAACGCATACATATGGTTTCGACACGACCACACGACACGATCACACGACACGACAAGAGAACTCGGGCACATGCAAATCGACTTAAAGACGAGCGAGTAGATTTACTGAAGCCTTTCCAAAAAACATACCAGCTGAAAGAAACAAATATGAAAGTATGTATCGACGCCGCCTTTACTAAATCCCAGCTCACCAAGCGGGAGGCAACAATAATAAACCTCAAGTTTACATCAGAGAAACAACTCGGTCTTCAGCGTAATGATTCGGCGATTTATTCATCAACCTTGCCCATCGCTCCACCTCTGAACAAATGTGGTAAGATTGTGTGACTAGTGTGTTTTGAATCTCTCAATTATCACGTTGCTGTGATAAAGTCGCGTTGTGTAAACGGGCCTTCACATTGTCCGCATGGTATCACGTGTTACCCGTCAGGTCAAAGTGCGACTGATAGCTTTGATAGGTTGTCTTGTGCAACGATGTCCGTCATCACATGCTACGTACGTGTACATATACTGTGTATTATAAATATTGTTGCTACATATTATGCACCATTATGACGGTATGTAAATAATCTGACAATCCAGTGATTGATATCATGAACATCGGAACCTGTGACGTACCTGCCAAGACGTGTCGTGAAGAGTGAGTGGGTTTAGAGTTTAGGAATATCACGACGGGGACTGCAGAAAAGGGCTTCACACAATGTACTCATGTGGGGAATCGAACCTTTGGTCTTCGGCGTGACGAGCAGACGCTTTAACCACTAGGCTACCTCACCGCCCCCGTGACGTGATTAGCTGAGATCGTGTGAACTTTCTGTCACCGTGAAACGCATATTTAGTTCTTAATACCTTGGAATAATAGGTCAACTTTAGGAAATGCATTATGGGGCAAAATGACAACACAATCAAAATTCAATAAACTCTCTGTCTGGGCAGCGGTCTTTCAGAGACCGATCTCGGGTTTTCGTTAACTGCACGGGGCCTGTCAAAATACGAAAGGCAACTGGAAAGTGGTGAAAACCTTAAAGCAATCTGGCTCAGATGATGCCCATATATGTCGATGTATTGATGTTTTCAATGTACTGATATATCGTCGATGTATTAAAACTGTCAATCTCTCTCCACCATTGGGACAGTGACAACAGACTGGTGCTGCGTGACTCACTCAGCATGTGTAGCGTGAGTGCCTCAGTATGTCAAGGTGCGCGATGTGACCTTTACTGCGTTATATTTCGCTGAGAGTTAGTAACATTGGGTATTGATCAGGTTGTATTCATCTCTCGGCTCGACAGTCACGACCTTTGCTGCAGTGTACAACGCTGACGTCATTATTCAGACACAGATGTTGCCATCTTGAATATTAAATCGTATCGATCGTAAGTCTTTCCTCGTTTTACTTTCATTTTCAGTGTACAGCTCAACACGATCTTAATTGCTAGGTAATACCGTGTTGCGGGATCGTGTAACTGGATATATCGTTATCTTCTGATCTGCAATGCCAGGTAATGTTGTTGTGCTGGATCGTGTAATCCTATGTATGTTTACCTACTGATCTACACAGTCAGGTAGTACTGTTGTGCTGGATCATGTAACTAGATATATCTTTATCTTCTGATCTGCAATGCCAGGTAATGTTGTTGTGCTGGATCGTGTAACCTGATGTACGTTTACCTTCTGATCTACACAGTCAGGTAGTACTGTTGTGCTGGATTGTGTCCACTGGATATATATCTTTATGTGATTCATCTGTGCTGTTGTGCAGGTAGTACTGTTGTGCTGATCTGTATTGTGATGTATATTTACCTTCTGATCTACACAGTCAGGTAGTACTGTTGTGGTGGATCATGTAACCTGATGTACGTTTACCTTCTGATCTACACAGTCAGGTAGTACTGTTGTGCTGGATCATGTAACCTGATGTACGTTTACCTTCTGATCTACGATCAGCCAGCAGTACTGTTGTGCTGGATCGTGTAACCTGATGTACGTTTACCTTCTGATCTACACAGTCAGGTAGTACTGTTGTGCTGGATCATGTAACGTGATGTACGTTTACCTTCTGATCTACAGTCAGGTATGTAACTGTTGTGCTGAATGTAACCTGATGTACGTTTACCTTCTGATCTACACAGTCAGGTAGTACTGTTGTGCTGGATCATGTAACCTGATGTACGTTTACCTTCTGATCTACACAGTCAGGTAGTACTGTTGTGCTGGATCGTGTAACGTGATGTACGTTTACCTTCTGATCTACACAGTCAGGTAGTACTGTTGTGCTGGATCGTGTAACGTGATGTACGTTTGGATCCTGATACAGTCAGGTAGTCTGTTATCTTCTGATCTATCTTTATTTAATGCTGATCCAGGTAATACTTGCTGTTGTGCTGGATCGTGTAACCTGATGTACGTTTACCTTCTGATCTACACAGTCAGGTAGTACTGTTGTGGTGGATCGTGTAACGTGATGTACGTTTACCTTCTGATCTACACAGTCAGGTAGTACTGTCGCTGTGCTAGAACGTATAAACGATGTACGTTTACTTCTGATCTTCACAGTCAGGTAGTACTGTTGTGCTGGATCGTGTAACGTGATGTACGTTTACCTTCTGATCTACACAGTCAGGTAGTACTGTTGTGCTGGATCATGTAACCTGATGTACGTTTACCTTCTGATCTACACAGTCATGAAATACTGTTGTGCTGGATCGTGTGTCTTGATGTACGTTCACATTCTGATCTACACAGTCAGGTAATATAGTTGACTTTCAGAGAATAACTTGTCAAAAATATTCTATAAGCGACAAACAACATTTCCATAATCGTAATACATTATTACAAAAATTCAAGTCCACCGTAAAATTCCGACAACATCATTACCACATGTCTATGAATAGCTTTCAAATAGTGATAATCAGTGTATTCATAATCTCCTTCGTAATTGTCATGTTGGCTATTTGTACATATTACATTACAGCCTTTCAAGGCTAAATATCAACGACCTACCTAGCGTACAACAACCGAAACGGTAACGATGTCATCGTTTAATCAGCTTATCATGCGATAAGGGAAATGCGTGTCTCGTGACGGAGGTAATACCTAAAGTTTATATATAACCGTGGTGTAGGCAAAACCCTATTTCTGAAATAATCGTATCTGCGACAGAGTACAAATAGTCGTCTATCCCCTTGGCTGAAAAACGGTATGTTGAAAATATTACCAAACCTATATGTATTGAATATTTGTCATATATAATCGGACAATATATTACATATATGATGACCATCGTAAACTGAACAAGAAAGGTTAAGAATCATGAATGTTTTGGTGATATGAAAATTTGTTCTCCGTTTTCACAAAAACTAACCCACCCAGCCCCAAGTATTGATGGTCAACTTGTAAGTATATATTATAACAGTTATTTATGTCATTGTTTATTGCTACTCGATAACAAACTTGGTAACACCGATGGCATCATATCATATCATTACCCTGTGTATAATATCTTCATTCTAATATGATATATATTTCGTAATAATATGCAGAAGAATATGGTAGAATAGGAAATCGACAGTGTACTGCTCGCGATACTAGTGGTAAGTAAACAGGATAAGAGCCTATTTTTCCTTGTTTCGATTGCGTAATCTTAATGATAGGCCTTGAATAGTGCACTGAAGATCAGCAGCACAAGTCTAGGATCGATTAATCGGATTTGACAAATTGGGTCACGTGAGCCGATCGAATCGTTTTTCACTTGCTCCGCGAGTTCAAAGTCAGAAGACAATGTGGCAATTTATAGTAAAACTACATAATCGAGAGAGTGAGTGAGTGAGTGAGTGAGTAAATATTGCTTAACGCTGCATCAGCAATGTTGTTGCTATTCACGGCGAGAAATGTCATAAAAAACTGTGTATGAATAATCACAATGAAAATGTTGATTTCTAAAATTCTCAGTCACATATATCGTTCAAGGGTAGAAACAGATTTTGAGATCCAAATCTATATTTAAGCAAACAATTGGAACAATCAAAAGAGGACCAGTGTCGAAGAAATGAATATGTAAAGATGATATGTGACTATAAGTCTTCGTTTCAGTTGCGTAATCCTATCAACAAATGAACGAGTAAGACTCGCCACCCGGCTTGCCGGAATAACACGAGTAGTTGCGAATGGATTTGTGGAAATAAATATGGAAATAGTTCCCGATACGAGATCCACTACATCACTGGGACCCGTGAAGATCCGGGTCTTCAACAACCTATGCTTGTCGTAAGAGGCGACTAACGGGATCGGGTGGTTAGGCTTGTTCACATGGTTGGCACATGTCGTCGTATGCCAGTTACGTAGATCGATGCTCACGCTGTTGATCACTGGATTGTCTGGTCCAGACTCGATTATTTACAGACTGCCTAGAAATAGCTGGAATATTGCTGATTTTGGCGTTTAACAACAAACAAACAAATATCATTGGAGAGACATCGTAGAACTAGTCTCCATTCAGTTTTCATGTGTCAGTAATTAAAGCCGTTGAACAATGTATAAGCTGTAAAATTTGTATCAAGTGAGTGAGTGAGTTGGGTTTTACGCCGCTTTTAGCAATATTCCGGCAATATCACGGCTGGGGACACCAGAAATGGGCTTCACACATTGTGCCCATATGGTGAATCGAACCCGGGCCTTCGGCGTGACTAGTAATAATAATAATAATAATGCATTTGTTTAAGCGCCTAATGTCCAACCGGTGCTGCTCAGTGGCGCTGCGCGGAGAAAGTGGAGAAACTAGTAGGTAGCTAGAAAGAGATGAGTTTTTAGTTGGCTCCTAAATGCTTCCAGGGAAGATACTGATCTAGTTCAACTGGCAGAGAGTTCCACAAAGCTGGTGCAGCAGCACTGAAAGCTCTGTCTCCCATGGACGTTTTTGTAGCTGGCATTTTCAGGCTGCCTCTTTTCTCAGACCTCAGGACACGAGTTGGACGATAGATTTCGATGATGTCTTTGAGGTAAGCTGGTGAATTGATGTCATAGAGGGTTGAGTAGGTGATGCAAATTATTTTGTACTGTATTCTCCTCTTTACTGGGAGCCAGTGCAACGACCTCAGTACAGGTGTGATGTGTTCCTGACATTTTGTCCTGGTAATGATCCTGGCAGCTCTGTTTTGTACAAGCTGGAGATGTTGGATTGCTGCTGCTCCTGACACGAGGGAGTTACAGTAGTCTAGGCGTGAGATGACGTATGCCTGTACTAAAAGTTTGGTTGTGTCAATGTCCAAATAGCGGCGGATTTTTCCTATTCGGCGGAGATGAAAGGTTGCTGATCTTGCTGCTGTTAGGGCTTGTGATTCTGGGGACATTGAAGAATGGAAAACAACACCAAGATTCTTCACCTGGGGCACAGGGCAGATAGACTGATCTCCAACTGTGAGACTACACTCGCCTATTTTGCGAAGCTGCTGCCTAGTTCCAATGATCATGAACTCAGATTTGTCGTCGTTGAGTTTCAGAAAGTTGTTTGTCATCCATATCTTGATGTTAGCGATACAGCTCTCCATAACATCTTTTGCGTGTTCAACATTAGGTGGTATAATTCCTATGTAGAGTTGGTTATCATCTGCGTAACCATGAAATTTTATGTTGTGACTTCGGATGATATTACCTATTGGAAGAATGTACAGTGAAAACAAAATCGGACCAAGCACAGAGCCTTGCGGTACACCAAAGTGGGTTTCTCTGATGGATGATGTCGCATTATGGACCTTGACTCTCATTGTTCTATTTGACAAGTAGGACTGGAACCATTGTAATGCCGTTCCTGTGATGCCAATAGTGTGCTCTAACCTAGCGAACGCTTTGATCACTTGGCTACCCCGCCGCCCTTGTAACAAGTAATAATAACGTATTTTCATCTCTATGTATGGCAGTGATAACTGAACCGTTTGACCTCTTTTGTATTGAGTATGTGGTTTCTTCCAGTTCAAACACATCCGTAACCCATGGCAACGAAAGAAGAACTGGTGAAAGTCATTGTAAGATGCCGCCCAATGAGCGAGTCGGAACACACCCGAGGATGTCAGCCAGTGCTCTCCATTGATGGCAAAGGGGGATCCTGCACTGTAACAAAGCAGGACTCGGACAGATTGGGCAGGAAGCAGTTTACCTTTGACCGGGCATACTCTGGCGACACTACAACTCAACACATTTATAGCGACATCGTGTGTCCTATTGTGAAGGTCAGAGATTAGACTAATGACTAGCCTTTAAATATATCCCTGAATCCCATTATCTCCCCTTTCTGCACAACCCTCGTTGCGGTACAATAGCCCAAGATGAAGCACTATATTTTCCAGCCTCGCATGTCCGATTGTTACAATTTAAATAGATATATTAATTTTGTTAATATATGCTCAGGAAAACAATTAATGGATCACAAGTATTCCCTTATTTTTTCCAGCTTTCTTCTCAAGTTATGCGACACAAAACTTGTAAAGAAACCTTGGAAAAAAATAACAGAACACTTGTCCTTTCATGTGATCCCTTATTTCCTTCTCTCAGTATATGAAATTAATATCTCTATTTTAACTGTGACAATTGGACCTTCGAGACTGGAAAATTTTGTATTTAGTGCGTCATCTTGGGCTATTGCATTGCAGTGAGGGTTCGCAGAAGGGGAGATAATGTGGTTCAGGGACTGTCAGACAGACCATGGTGATGATTAAACAAGTGTTATACAAGTGAAATGTGAATATTCATTGTCATACAGAGAATTGTAAGTGCGTGTATGTGAGTTTAGTTTACTTTATATAAAAGTGGCCTCAAGGCATGACAATGTGAAGTGAGAAAATAATCCAAAATGGCGTGTTTGGTTAAAACCGTGCTGATTCAGATATGAGATTCAGACTATGAGATGTCTATGTGAGCCTGCAGAGCGTAGGAGCAGATGGGGCCCGGCTTGGGAAGAGTAATGGTGTTGAATGCCGTAGTAATCATACGTATGACATTTCTCCTTGTCTTCCAGAGTGTAACGGAAGGGTATAATGGCACCATAGTTGCATATGGACAGACCGCTTCTGGAAAGACGTTTACCATGCAAGGAGTATCAGAACCCTCAACCCAACTTGGGATCATACCAAGGTAAGATAGACAGAGATATGGGATGGGTGCGGTTGGTGCGGGCTTGTAGACCTTTACTATGCAAGGAGTATCAGAACCCACAACCCAACTTGGGATCATACCAAGGTAACACAGAGATATGGAGTGGGTGTAGTTGATGCGGGCTTGTAGACCTTTACTATGCAAGGAGTATCAGACCCCACAACCGTACTTGGGATCATACCAAGGTAACATAGAGATATGGGATGGGTGCGGGCTTGTAGACCTTTACTATGCAAGGAGTATCAGAACCCTCAACCCAACTTGGGATCATACCAAGGTAACATAGACAGAGATATGGGATGGGTGCGGTTGGTGCGGGCTTGTAGACCTTTACTATGCAAGGAGTATCAGAACCCACAACCCAACTTGGGATCATACCAAGGTAACACAGAGATATGGAGTGGGTGTAGTTGATGCGGGCTTGTAGACCTTTACTATGCAAGAAGTATCAGAACCCTCAACCCAACTTAGGATCATACCAAGGTAACATAGCGATATGGAGTGGGTGTAGTTGATGCTAGCTTGTAGACCTTTACTATGCAAGGAGTATCAGAACCCTCAACCCAACTTAGGATCATACCAAGGTAACATAGATATATGGGATGGGTGTAGTTGATGCGGGCTTGTAGACCTTTACTATGCAAGGAGTATCAGAACCCACAACCCAACTTGGGATCATACCAAGGTAACACAGAGATATGGAGTGGGTGTAGTTGATGCGGGCTTGTAGACCTTTACTATGCAAGGAGTATCAGAACCCTCAACCCAACTTAGGATCATACCAAGGTAACATTGAGATATGGGATGGGTGCGGGCTTGTAGACCTTTACTATGCAAGGAGTAGCAGACCCCACAACCCAACTTAGGATCATACCAAGGTAACATAGACAGAGATATGGGATGGGTGTAGTTGATGCGGGCTTGTAGACCTTTACTATGCAAGGAGTATCAGAACCCTCAAACCAACTTGGGATCATACCAAGGTAACATAGAGATATGGAGTGGGTGCAGTTGATGCGGGCTTGTAGACATTTACTATGCAAGGAGTATCAGAACCCTCAAACCAACTTGGGATCATACCAAGGTAACATAGAGATATGGAGTGGGTGTAGTTGATGCTAGCTTGTAGACCTTTACTATGCAAGGAGTATCAGAACCCTCAAACCAACTTGGGATCATACCAAGGTAACACAGAGATATGGGATGGGTGTAGTTGGTGCGGGCTTGTAGACCTTTACTATGCAAGGAGTATCAGAACCCACAACCCAACTTGGGATCATACCAAGGTAACACAGAGATATGGAGTGGGTGTAGTTGATGCGGGCTTGTAGACCTTTACTATGCAAGGAGTATCAGAACCCTCAACCCAACTTAGGATCATACCAAGGTAACATAGAGATATGGGATGGGTGCGGGCTTGTAGACCTTTACTATGCAAGGAGTAGCAGACCCCACAACCCAACTTAGGATCATACCAAGGTAACATAGACAGAGATATGGGATGGGTGTAGTTGATGCGGGCTCGTAGACCTTTACTATGCAAGGAGTATCAGAACCCTCAAACCAACTTGGGATCATACCAAGGTAACATAGAGATATGGAGTGGGTGCAGTTGATGCGGGCTTGTAGACATTTACTATGCAAGGAGTATCAGAACCCTCAAACCAACTTGGGATCATACCAAGGTAACATAGAGATATGGAGTGGGTGTAGTTGATGCTAGCTTGTAGACCTTTACTATGCAAGGAGTATCAGAACCCTCAAACCAACTTGGGATCATACCAAGGTAACACAGAGATATGGGATGGGTGTAGTTGGTGCGGGCTTGTAGACCTTTACTATGCAAGGAGTATCAGAACCCTCAACCCAACTTAGGATCATACCAAGGTAACATAGCGATATGGAGTGGGTGTACTTGGTTCTGGCTTACCAATTTAAGTTCCACACACAGGTTTATATACAAAGCTTAAGCCCATTTCCCCTTGTCTCCTGCCTTGGAGTGGTTCCAATAGTTCTTATGTTGGCTTAAACTTGGCTGGGCGATACCTTCTTAACACGGTGACCGAAAAGTGAAGCTGTTGTCATAATAGCATATGATGATAATGTTTACACAGTTAAAGGTTATATGTCATTTTATTACCCACGTGGTCAACGTATGGGTAGTTGCATACTAATCTCGTACGTCACACGAGTGTCGTATCGCGTTGACCTGTGTCGTAACGACTTGACCTGAGATTCTAACGATTTGATTGGATAACCGATTACCTCTCAGTTCGGTCACGTTGTGACGGAACTGCTTGTTCATTCATAACAAACACGTGAATTCATTCATTCTACAACTTAGATGCATTGTGAGAATGTCAACATTGCGAACGTTGCCGTGTCGCTGTTTAATTGTGAGTCGAACTGAGACATTATATACGTCGAAAAAAATAAACGCAATGTTTCCACCAGTGATGTTAGCCGAATGAAGCAACTTCAAACCAAGAAACTGGGTGCTACGGAGTAGTTTACTGTAGGAGGCTGTACGAGGCGATGGCAACTGACATGCATCGTGACGTCGGTTACCAAGGGGACAGACTAGAAATGGCGTAGTGACGTCAATACAGTGTGACGTCATGCAAAAATTTACGTCAGAACAAAATTCTTCCGCAACCTCTTTATGAAACCGGTTTCGGTTTGAAACCACAACAATACCAAAACTACGCTATTTTGTCAGTTTAAACTCGTGACCTTCCTATGGTTTCTTTCGCTCGGTCAGATACCATAGGAAGGACACTCGTTTCGTATAATTCGTATGTAATGAGACCGAGTGTGGTATTTTATTTATTACCCACGTCTTACATGCATTAAACATTTGTGTGTTTCCCATCTCCCGTCTGTCATCAATTATCATGAATGACATGAAGCGATAAAACGTTTCCTTATCTCAATTTACCCTCAGGCTTGGTGGGCTTGATCTTTCGTCATCTGTATAATCTGAATAATTGTTTCAGAAGCAAAGCGGCTCGCCCTACGTCACAAATCAATTTACAAACTATTTCCAAGTGATTTAGTTTTAACATTTCATAACTTCTTTTGTACATAGATACCCCAACTAGTGAAAATCACATTTTTGGGCATTCATTTTTGTTCATTTTTTTGCCCACCCGCCCTCTTCCTGATCTAGGTTACAGAAGTGAAACGCATACCAAATACAGAGGGCCCACTCAATGAGTGAGTGAGTATGGTTGTATGCCGCATTTAGCAATATTCCAGCAACATCACGGCGGGGGACACCAAAACATGGACTTCACACATTGTACCCATGTGGGAAATAGAACCCGGGTCTTCGGCGTGACGAGCGAACGCTTTAACCACTAGGCTACCCCACTGCCCCGATGGCCTACTGACGTCAGATTTGTCTTTTACAAGAAGACAACCACGTAACAAAAGTTTCTTTTTTGTTCTAGGGCCGTGGACGACATCTTCAAGAACGTGTCCTCCAACAAGAGTCAGCAGTGGGTTGTACACTGTTCGTGTTATGAAATCTACAACGAAGAAATCAGAGATTTATTAGGGAAAAGCCTGACAGAGAAATTGGATATTGGATCATTTCCTAATAAAGGCTTCTATGTAAAAGGTAGGCGTTTATGTTGAAGCTTGTACCATATCCATGTCTGTTAAAACAATTCTGATAAGATCTGATAAGATCAGCAAGGCAATGATTATAGGCAAACAAGTTTCATTGCTTTGCATACGCTGACATAAAGAAGACAGCTTGATGCAGATTCGCCTTCCGAGAGACCCGTGAAGTACTGTAAGTCCCCATGGTCCCTAGTATGGTGATCAGCCTTCAGTTCTATAGCCCGTTTTTATATTGTATCGTTGTGAGATCGTTTTATGATAGCGTACTAGTTTAGATTTAGAGCTGTGATACTCTAGTAGTTTTACTGTCTTTCGATGACAGATTTTTCAAGTTCTCAATTGATTGATTTTAATGTTGATATAAATTAAATTGTTCTCGTCATATAGCCGTAGATTGCTGAATGCGGCGTTAAACAGGAAACAATCAAACTTAGTTGATGCGCGTCATTGTGTTTCAATTGCTCAGATCGATGCTAATGATATCAATCACAGGATGGTCTGGTCCAGACTGGAATAATTACAGACGGTCGTCATGTAGCGGGAGTATTGCTGAGTGAGTGAGGTATTAAACAACAAATAAACCTTAACAGTTCAACATAAACATGTAGATATATGCATAAGAAAGAGAAAGGCAACGAGAGAGAATAACCAACGAATAGCCAACACATTCACATTCGCAGTGTACGAGAAATAGCTTCTGACCTGTTAGCCCAGTCGGGCCAGAATTTCTCCACAGTCACTGGCCCGACTGGCTAGTCAATTTCCATGGGGTCATTTTGTAAAGTATATCACTTCTCTCCGACTTGTTAAGTTATAATGTACCTTTAAATCATGCAAGATTATGGCCTGATTAATGTTCATCATATACTACCCATCAAAAGTTTAGACTCAGTTAAAGCACTCACTATATGTTATGTATATATATATGGTTACATCGAAGAACCAACTTCAAACTTTATGGAGATGAATTACGCACGATGATCATACATTAAATTGCTGAAAAGCATGTGCAAATATCGTGCATGTGAACAGCTGCGTTTTTGTGTAAAGTTTTGTTAAGAATTCTCCAATTTACACTGAGTTTCATCATTTATTGAACTCATGACAATAATCTTTTCAACGTTATGAATCTGTTTTACAATACATCAGCTCACGTGTAAACAGTACCTATAAACAGTATGAAATATTTTGGAAAATCTAGTTTAGAACAGTTGACTGAAGTAAGTGGCTACATTTACTCTAGTGAGTCTAAAGTTTTGATGGGTAGTGTATTAGCAGCTTAATGATGAAACCCGTGTCTACATTTCCAATTTCGGAATCGAGAATTTTTTGTGGGCTGGTAACTTTCAGGCATAGATAGTCCCACTGGCTACCAACATTTGGAAACTATTTCGCTGCGTGACATTCGTTGTGGGTTTACTGATCTTTCAGCAATATTCTGGCAATATCGTTAGTGGTAAATACATGTCACCAATCGAACCCGGGTCTACGGCGAGACCAGCAGACGATTTAACCTATAGGCTGTGGTAATATGTGTTCCAAACACATTCTTAACAAGCACCTCAATCAGTGATCATGACTGACTGACTGACTGAGTTTGGTTTTACGCCGCTTTTAGCAATATTCCAGCAACATCACAGCGTGGGGACACCAGAAATGGGCTTTACACATTGTACCCATGTGGGGACTTGAACCCGGGTTTTCGGCGTGACGAGCCAACGCTTTAACCACTAGGCTACCCCACCGCCCCCAGTGATCATGAGTGTATGGAGTTGAGTACAGCGATGAACAGAAGGTCATGAAACAGTTTAATCATTTGAACTAATAAAGGAACAGTTTATCTGTCAAAGCATACATATACCAAATGGATAATGTATAAATGCAAATTGGACAATATGACAAATGTGAGCCAGTCGTCAGTGAAACCGTATTCTTTACCACAAACACAGGACTCTCGAAACACCCAGTCAACACAGTGGTTCAGTGTGAGCGGCTCATGAACAAAGGCTTGAGAGGCGTTCTACAGGTGCCACTGAAATGAACAGCGATTCCTCCCGCAGCCACACCGTCTTCGCCATCAGCATTGAGACGCACTGGACCAGAGGACAAACGGACATATCAGAGCGGGCAAACTCAACCTTGTGGATCTGGCAGGAGTGAAAGACAAAAGCAAGACTGGTGAGTTGACGAATAATCTGGTACTTGCAGTTAACTTTCATCGATGTTTCTTGATACTTTGATGTGTGTACATTTAACAGAACACAGGTCTCTCCAGGCCAATAAAACTCCAAATGAGTTGGTGACACTCGCCGCTTGTAACAATATTCCACGAATATACCTCAGACATCAGACATGGGCCTCTCACATTGTACTCATTTGGGGAATCGAACCCCGGTTGTCGGAGTAACGAGCGAACCCTTTAACAACTAGGGTTGCCTCACTGGCCGAAACTCCAAAGAAGACTGAGTGAGTGAGTGAGTGGAGTGATACAACGCAATCTCGTAAGGTCAGTGAAACGTCAAAGGAAGGGTGAGTCATTGTGTCAGTCAGTGAGCAAGTGTGACTTGACTTTACGTGACATTCATAACGTAATGTAGAACTGACTGCGTATGGTTTTACGGCGCTTTTAGATGCGGATTTGGGTGTATATATATTACTTTTTGGGGAAAATGAGTTTAAGATTTTCGTGTAAACCAACCATTTCACTGTATCCGTTCTCTCTGAATCTCCATGACAACAGGAGCCGCCGGCGTGAGGTTCAAGGAAGGATCAAGATCAACAACTCTTCACTGTCTCGGAAGAGTCATCTCAACATTAGCAGAGGGCAAGAACCAACTTATACCCTTTACAGAGACTCCAAGTTGACAAAGCTGCTTCAGGACTCCCTGGGTGGGAATGCCCGTGCACACTGATGGTGGCCTGTGTCTCCTCCCCGGCCGACTACAACTATGACGAGACACTAAGCACTCTCAGGTTTGCCGGCTAGCAGTGCAAAAGACCATCAAGAACAAGCCGGTGATCAATGAAGACCCGAAGGATGCCCTGCTGAGAGAGTTTCAGAGGGAGATACAGGACCTTAGGGCTCGACTTGGGCAGAGACTGGGGACAAGAGTCGAATACCTGGTTTGTATATGCAGTTTGGGGACTACATTCTCAATGTCACATTTAATGTTCATTATGCTTCAAAGTCTTCTTCATTGTCTTCTGGCATGTCCTTGTGGCTTGCACTTGTAGATGTTCATAGGGCATGTTCTTGTGGGATGTCTTTGTTTCCCTGTGACATGTACTTGAGACAGGTGCTTGTGGCATGTACCCGTGACATGTTCTTGAGAGAGATGCTTGTGGCATGTCTTTGTTTCCGTACCTGTGACATATACTTGAGACAGGTGCTTGTGACATGTGCTTCTGACATGTCTTTGTTTCCCGTACCTGTGACATATACTTGAGACATGTACTTGAGACAGATGCTTGTGGCATGTCTTTGCTTCCCGTACCTGTGACATATACTTGAGACAGGTGCTTTTGACAGGTGCTTCTGACATGTCTTTGTTTCCCGTACCTGTGACATATACTTGAGACATGTACTTGAGACAGATGCTTGTGGCATGTCTTTGTTTCCCGTACCTGTGACATATACTTGAGACAGGTGCTTGTGACAGATGCTTGTGGCATGTATTTGTAGCCTGTACCTGCGTGACATATACTTGAGACAGGTGCTTTTGACAGATGCTTGTGGCATGTCTTTGTTCCGTACCTGTGACATATACCTTGAGACTGGTGCTTGTGACAGGTGCTTCTGGCATGTTTTGTTTCCCGTACCTGTGACATATACTCTGAGACTGGTGCTTGTGACAGGTGCTTGTGGCATGTCTTTGTTTCCAGCACCTGTGACATATATTGAGACAGCATTGCTTGTGACAGGTGCTTCTGGCATGCATTTGTATCTGTACCTTTGACATGTACTTGAGACAGGTGCTTTTGACAGATGCTTGTGGCATGTCTTTGTTTCCAGTACCTGTGACATATACTCTGAGACAGGTGCTTGTGACAGGTGCTTCTGGCATGTATTTGTGGCCTGTACCTGTGACATATACTTGAGACAGGTGCTTGTGACAGATGCTTGTGGCATGTCTTTGTTTCCCGTACCTGTGACATATACTTGAGACAGGTGCTTGTGACAGGTGCTTCTGGCATGTATTTATGGCCTGTACCTGTGACATATACTTGAGACAGGTGCTTGTGACAGATGCTTGTGGCATGTATTTGTTTCCCGTACCTGTGACATATACTTGAGACTGGTGCTTGTGACAGGTGCTTCTGGCATGCATTTGTGGCCTGTACTTATGTTTTGAGGCATATTCTTAATATATGTACTTGTGACACGTGTGAGTTTATGTGTTTGTGGGAGAGGGGCCGGTTCGAGTGGATAAGGAACAAGGACAAAATGCGTTAAACAATTCAAATTTCATATTGGTGATCGCGTATATACAATACTTTAGCTAACATACTATGAACTGTTTAAAATACAAACAGCACGTCTACCACACACAGTTCACTTTTTTCAACGCTGTTTAGGCGTCACATTTCTTCCGTCCTTTTCACATTATGCTTTCTCACACATGCAGATGCCGACCTGCAAAAGGCTTTGCTCTGCCAGAAGGAAAATGAAAACAGGCAGCGTACTTTCAAGCAGAGAAAGCAGCGATGCAGAGGGTAGCTTTATAATGATACCTACTGTCAGAGAAATATGTTTGTTAAAAGTCTTCTTTATGCGTAGACATTAACAGTGTATTTCTGGTGTCCCCCGCCGTGATAGTGATGGAATTCTATAACAAGCAGCGTAAACCCAAATCACTCATAGACATTAACAGTGTATTTCTGGTGTCCCCGCCGTGATAGTGATGGAATTCTATAACAAGCAGCGTAAACCCAAATCTGTCATAGACATTAACAGTGTATTTCTGGTGTCCCCCGCCGTGATAGTGATGGAATTCTATAACAAGCAGCGTAAACCCAAATCACTCATAGACATTAACAGTGTATTTCTGGTGTCCCCCGCCGTGATAGTGATGGAATTCTATAACAAGCAGCGTAAACCCACATCTCTCATAGACATGAACAGTGAAACAAGTAGAATATTGATATTATGATTAATTTCGGACGATGTGGTATGTAGAATGATATAATTTATCTTGGAGGAGATCTTCATGTCAGGTTCGAAACACAAAATAAATATCAGCATATCATAACATGCCTTCATACTATTGTAAAGATAACCCACAACGCTACACCACAGTAAAATCAAAGGCTTAATTAGAATTGAACGTGGTACACCATAGAGACAGCATCTTCGATGTTCCATTTGATATATGGTACCTGCTACCAATGGGAAGCTGATGCAATTGACCTCGGCATAAGTGATAGTACAGGGTCTTTAACCATAACCTTACATATGTTTGTATTAGGAATATGAAGAAAAAGATGGCCAAGATGACGAAGGAGCTTGAAGAAGCCAGGCGGACGCAGGCGAGGCTTGAGGCGGATATGAGAAGGATGAAAGAGTGTCCAATGATCACCATAGGTATGCGAGAAATAATATGCATTGAAGGAAGAATGACAAAACCTTTACCAATTCCGTCGTTTGTACCATTCCGAGTATATTTAACATGTGCATATCAATCACCGTCAAATAGTGACGATATCAGGGCTCGTAATAGGATGAGCATATTGTCGAACATAAACACATGCATAAAGCAAGCAACTGTTCACCAAAAAGGCCCACGTCCGCATGTCAAATTTGTACATGTCCACAATAAAAACTTTTGTAAGTTTTATGGAGACCTTGAATGTTGTAACCTTGATCGAATTTTATTTTAGCGAGAGCCGTATGTCACTCTTTGATATATATATGTATGTGTGCAATGTGTATATATGTCCTAGGTGATGAGTGAGAGAGTGAGTATGGCTTTACGCCGCTTTTAGCAATATTCACGGCGGGGACACCAGAAATAGGCCTCACACATTGTACGTATGTGGGGAATCGAACTCGGTCTTCGGCGTGAAGAGGAACGCTTTAACCACTAGGCTACCCCACCGCCCCTAGTAATGATCATAGGGTCGCATTGTAACCGTGTGGGTAACGAAGCTGGCCTCGGCGTGAAGAGTGAACACAATACCCACTAGGCTACCCCATCGCACCTCATTGATACGTAATATGTACCCTTTATACAAATATAGCAAATGGTTTCATCTACAATTCAGTCATAGGTGAACTTTAATTCTTTCAGAAAATGAAGTAACCCCTGATGACGAAACAATCCGAGAATTGCGCATCGTTCTCATTGGTAAGACAGGATCTGGTAAAAGTGCAACCGGGAATACTTTGATTGATCCAGAATATTTGATTCCCGTGCAAGCGGAATATCCATCACAAAAAGAGTCCAACTATGCTTCTGCAGAATTCAAAAACAGGTCGATTCTTATTGTGGACACCCCCGGAATGTTTGATACACTGGAATCAAATGATGAAAGGAAACGTGAGATTATGAAATGTGTAGCACTTACGTCCCCTGGATTACATGCTGTGATATTTGTGACCCAGATTGGAATATTTACCGAAGAAGAACAGAGGACAGTGGAGTACTACAAGGAATACTTTGGAGAGAACGTAGTCCACTACATGATAATAGTTTTCACAAGAAAGGACAACCTTGTACACGATGGCATAACCATTGACGACCACTTAAGAAGAAGTTCTCAAGTGTTACAACAACTGGTCAGGGATTGTCAGGATAGATACATCGTTGTTAACAATCGTAATGAAGAAGAAAAGGATGTGTTTCGAAAGAATCTCACTGACCTCATTGACAAGACGGTTGCCCATAATGGTGGGGGTTGTTACACAAATGCGATGTATGAAGCAGCAGAGCTTGCAATGAAAGTGAAAGAAGAGGAGTTAATGGACTATGTTCAGATGGAACAACAAGCTGAACTTGATGCAATGGAAAAGGCACGGAGTGAGTTGCTGATGACAAAAATGGAAGAAACAGAACGAAAGGCTGAAGAACAGAGACTTAAATATGAAAAGGAAAAGGCAGAAATAATGCTAGAGACAGACGAGATGCTGCGTGAATTGAAAGAGAGGGAAGAAATGAAAGAAAGGGCTTGGAAAGCGAAACACGAAAGTCTAATGATGGTGGCCAAAGAAGAAGCTGAAAACAGAAACAGAAAGAATTGGAACTAAGGGAGAAACTAGACAAGGAAGCAGCTGAGAAGCAAAAACAAGTTGAACAGGAACTAAGGACACTAAAAGAAAATGAAGAGAGTGTTAGATGTCAAAGGGAACGTGATATAAAGGTAGCGCAGGTGGCTAATGCCGAACGTACTGAAGTTGAGAGAAGGAAAATAGAAGAACTTAATCAGAGGAAAGAAGGAGAAATGAGACTCTTGAAAGAGAAATATGAATTAGAAATGGACATGCTCGAGAAGGATGATGCTCAGTTGATGATCACTCTTCAGACGATTTATGAAGAGGATTATAATGAACATGTGAGAAAGGTGGCACGAGAGGCACGAATGAGGGCGAGGAGGGAGGCAAGAACAAAAAGGTCATTCCTTCAAAAAGGTTATCGATAAAATAGGAGAAGTAATTGTTTCGGTCTCCCTATGTCTGTGCCAACGGTCCCAAAAAAGAAACTGACATTGAAACCTACGTGTTTGTGTGAGGGATTCTTTATGTACAGAGCACGTCCTGACATCCGAATTACAGAGAAACCTAGATTTCTTGAAGACATCATGTGCAGCTTGTATTTAACTCATGTTATCTGTGTCCTCATCACATGTATGTTGTTTTTACATCCATAATATTTAGTTAATTATAACATGTTCATAATTTACAATACAGGATTATGGAAGTTGCTTCCTTTGTGGATTGATTTATTTATTTGATGTAAAGTGTGAATATAAGATCCACTTAACAAAGAGGTTTTTAGGAATTATGGATTGTCTGTTCCGAGTAATCTTGAATGTTTGTAAGTCACGACAGGGATAATCTATTTGTTTTCCTCGTTGTGACACACAGTTACTCGAGGTCGCTATAATGTTAATGCGATCTTTTTCCTTAGAAGACTTGTCAAAGACATTTTTTTTAAACAAAGTTTTTTGACACTCACAACCACTCATGACATTGGAGATATTTTGTGCAACAGATTGTACCAGTGCTTTCTTTATTGATCAAATATGTGGTGCAGGGTTATGAACAAGACTGATTAAAATAAGTTACGGTATGCATGTAGACTCAACAAATTTCAACGTTTGTTTTACCGTCATGTGTTGTGTGTGGTGATCATAGAACAAAACTATTATCAAAACCTCAACAAATCACAATGAACGTGCAAATCATGTCTGTGGCATGCGCATCTGTATGATCCTGGATAGACAAACTGAAACAATGAACAAAATGCCAAACTTCAAATGATGCTTTGTGTTTTCTGGATTATCAAATCAATGGGTATCAAAATATAAAGCACAAGGAAAGACAAATTAAAGATGAGTATTGGTCCACTGGAAGCATGCGTTTCTGTTTGGGCAGTCTCTGTAGGTTTCAATATCACAAGGGCAATCACTGGCTACCTTGCTATCCGCCTTAACAACATCGAAACGACAGTGACCATCCTCGGACAACCAGTCCAAGGGGTAGCAGCTGTACAGAATCGGTATATTTAAACAAGTAACCGATTCCAACTTGTGTCAGATATTAGCTAGGCATAAGGATGTCTCTGCCCAGGCCGTACGTAATCATTTGCGTTTTCAGACAAACAGAGAGGACATACATACTGACTTGCGTCATTGGCGAACAAATGCCACATCTGTCAAGTGGGGATATCGGCTTCCTGATGATCCATGCTTAGATTCATGTAATTTGATGAACACTTACGTCTCACAGATGAACACTTACCGTTTTGTTGCAATATTGTGTTTTCGCAACGGCTGTATATTTTTATTTTGACTTATCTAATGCAATAAATGACGGTTGATTTTTCCGTGGCGTCCCGTTTCATTTTAGTTGAGTATATTATGTGTCTTGGGATATTATAGCATGCAAAACCAACTCATAAATGGCAGCTATTATGGTTAAATCGGTAGGCATGTTTAATGTCATTTATAGCTGGTCCCAGTTGCCAAGTTGCAAATATGTTAGAGGAAGTTATCGGATGTTATGATATTTAGATGCATCTGTGCAATATATATATATATGTATATCTCTATTGGACAACTAGGTTCTAGGAGTGTTGGCTACAATCCAATTCTGGCTCCATTGTTAAATAGATAATGCAAGACTGTTCAAGACAGACATTGTCCGAAAATGTACCCAATACCTCCTCAATAACTTGTACGTTATAAGCCACAAAATATCTGTCATGTATGTTTAATGTTAATATCAGTGTTTATATTATGTGTTTAAAGTAAATATCAGTCTTCATCACAATATAGCTATGTATATAGGTTGCAGGACGTTTAAGGGGAGTTGACAGGTGTGATCGCATATGTGAGTATTGTAAAAATGAATGTCAGGATACAATAATAGAAGATGAATTACACTCAACGACTGAATGTTCACTGTATGAAGATGTGAGATCCAAACTGTTGCCATAGCTAAAAAGAAATGTATGCAGTGAAAATCAGTTCACTGCGGCTGTGACAGATTTTCACTTTGTAGCTATGATTACTCACTTTATGATCAACTGTGAGACAATTATCATGCACATGAAAGGAGGTAACTACATGGATTGTAGTTTTGATCAGAGTGTTATAGTCCGTTTGGCTCAAAAGCGGACCGATGAATTGCAATCTAACTCGAAAACTTATAAACATATAATACTCAATGAAACGCTGATCATAACCAAAACATCAGACCTACTCTGTGATTTGTTTGCAGAATTTATGTCCTAAAATTAAAAAAGTTGTTTATCAAACTATCATTAAAATATTGACACAGTTCACCATTTGTTACGAGGGAGGAGTGCAGAGAAAGGGACAGCCAGGTGTTAGAGAAGCACGTGCACAAGTGCCGACAACGTTATTGATTCATTAACCTGTGCTGTGCCGTCTCCATCCTTTCTCGCACACCTGGCTGTCCCTTTCTCTGCAATCCTCCCTCGTAACAAATAGTGAAATGTCTTGTAATCAGTTTAGATCAAAGACGTGTACTTTGGAATCGATGTCCCCAGTACTGAATATGGATTCTAACTTGAACATCATAGTGGTTCTGCCTCTGAGAATGATGGCAAAGATTTAACCTTAAAAGTGCAATCAGCCTGTGTATGGGGATGACTATGACCTGATACACATACAACTGTTATGTTATATGACTGCCCAATCGTAGGCTGTACACACTAGGCCTTAATGGTTTCCTCGTTAACTCGGATCATGATGACATACGTGTTCGTTCACGTACGGCGGCGGTCTGGCGGCGGTCTGTAAACAATCGAGTCTGGACCAGACACTCCAGTGATCAACAGCATGAGCATCGATCGGGCAAACTATGTGACACCATCTGTCCGTATTGATTTCCTGACACTTACAAGATCAAGTATTTATCAAATGCTCAGATGTCTGTAACATTCAAGGCGAAAACATAAAACCCGAGATTGTATCCCACGACCTAAATACGGCAAGGGTTCCTGATATGAGATCTATTAAATCTGTTAAATCACTGGAACCCGTGAAGGTCCGGGTTTGACGATAATTTTGTGATTTTGTTTGTTTGTTTTGAGGTTTACAATATTCAAGGCGAATGAAAACTTCAAACTGTTTTTATGATAGAATTGGACTTCGTTCGTGACCAACTCGTGTTATTCCGGGACAAGCCGGAGGTTACGGAAAGGGGCGAGTGGTGACGAAATGAATTGACTTGCCTAAATTATACGCATCAGTGGTGAAATTGATGTCCGCTGCCATTTCCTAGTATCGTTTGTACCATATGGTTTTGTTATGTATGCTTTTACTACTCATCAGTTCATTATAAGAATACTTCCCGTGCGGGTTCGGAACAGGTCTTCAGTAACCCATGCTTGTCGTAAGAGGCGACTAACGGGATTGGGTAGTCAGGCTCGCTGACTTGGTTGATGCATCCCAATTGCATCGTATCCCAGTTGTGTAGATCGATGGTCATGCTGTTGATCACTGGATTGTCTGGTCCTGACTCAATTATTTACAGACTGCCGAGATATAGCTGGAATATTGCTGAGTGCGGCGTAAAACAAGAAAACAAACAAACATCACTGGAAAGACAGCGTAGAACTATTCTCCATTCAGTTTTCACGGCGACTAACGGGATCGGGTGGTCAGACTCGCTGATTTGGTTGACACATATCAACGTTGTGTAGATCGATGTTCATGATGTCAATCACTGGATTGTCCGGACTCGAGTATTTACAGACAGCCGTCATAGAGCTAGAATATTGCTGAGTGCAGCGTATAACAACACAACACAAACAAACAAACCACGGATTTGACTGTTATATTCACTCTGCAAGCTACCTGGCCTCAACACGAAATGCCTGGCTGTACGCTCTGCTCAGGATTATGTGTTCTGTGCCAGGTTAGGTTTCACAACACATAAAGAGTATCTTATGCGACATCCACAAAGTCAGGCAGCGAAACATACACTGATGGCGTTTGTTTTTGCTTTTAACCACAAAGCATCCCTATGAGTTAAACGTTAGATGACATCTCGGTGTCAGTATGGGCAATTGAACCCATTATATCATCCGGTATAATAAATCAACTGAAACGTTCTCAAACCTGGGAATATAGAGTGTTCCACGCTTTAGGCATTTTCAAGAGATTCAAGAGATATTTGGAGCAATTATCGTAAGTGATTTGGTGAATATTACTAGGGGTGGGTATTGCAGAGAATTTTCATACTGCGATATATTGCGATGCGAAAGCATATATTGCGATATGTATTGCAATATATTGCAAGAAGTACTTTTAAACAAAGAACTACTTATAATGGCGTTAAAGCTTGATTTTTAGAGCAAAAACACACACAAAAAACTATACTTGATTAAGCTTTAACAACAACCTTTAATCATGACAAAATAGAAATGTAAATAATATTTGGCACAAATGAAACATGGAAATATCCGAAGATTTCCGAGTGTTACGAAGTTTTCCGAATGCAAGTCAAAATACCGGTTTTTGATCAGCGTATCGCAATACGTATCGTTTTCATGTCTGAACCGGTAAATACCGGTAAACCGGTTATATTGCGCAGCCCTAAATATTACCACATAAATTTAAAGAAATTTTGTTAAGCTATGATGTCAGGAAAGTTATTTTATAGTTTCAAATCTCTTTTGTAAAAGGGGCGGTTGGATAGCCTAATGGTAAAAGCGTCCGCTCGTCACGCTGAAGACCCGGGTTCGATTCCACATGGGTACAATGTGTGAAGCCATTTCTGGTGTCCCCCGCCGTGATATTGCTGGAATATTGCTAACGGCGGCGTAAAACCATACTCACTCTTCTGTAAAATGATATCGCCCATCGAATCTTCGAGCACGCATCCTTTTATTTGAGTACACGTAAATAACGTTTTACCCTGGAGATTAATGGAGCACCAGTTTTCCTGGGGGTTCCCCAGAACGTTTAGAGTGCAGTAGTAACAGCACACAATCCGGTCAGAGACTACTACATGAGATGAATGAATAGAAATGACACTGAACACTGTGAAAAACTGGTCACTGGACCGGATAGCCTGTATCGACTGATGAACGCGATATACTAACCTATATAAGCTGTCATGGAACAAGGACACATGTAACATTGAGCTGATGTCGTGTTGGTGCAGATAACCTGTCTTGTGTTCTGTGATATGTGGGGGCTGTGGGGTAGCCTAGTGGTTTAAGCGTTGGCTCGTCACGCCGAAGACCCGGGTTCGAATCCCCACATGGGTACAATGTGTGAAGCCCATTTCTGGTGTCCCCCGCCGTGATGTTGCTGGAATATTGCTAAAAGCGGCGTAAAACCAAACTCGGTCAGTCAGTCAGTTGAGACCACATCTGTTCTGCCAGCCTCATAACTTGCTCAAACTGGTGCATGACGTTGACGCTTTCAAATGTCACCTTTTCTCATGCCACAGCCGATGACAGACCACCCTGCTCCCTCTACTAGACATCGACTAAGGGTGGTGCGAACAATGTATTTTTCAGGGCAAACTATGTGACACCATCTCTGTCCGTATTGATTTCGACACTTACAAGATCAAGTATTTATCAAATGCTCAGAGGTCTGTAACATTCAAGGCGAAAACATAAACCCGAGATTGTATCCCACGACCTAAATACGGCAAGGGTTCCCGGTATGAGATCTATTAAATCTATTAAATCACTGGAACCCGTGAAGGTCCGGGTTTGACGATAATTTTTTGTGATTTTTGTTTGTTTGTTTTGAGGTCTACAATATTCAAGGCGAATGAAAACTTCAAACTGTTTTATGATAGAATTGGACTTCGTTCGTGACCAACTCGTGTTATTCCGGGACAAGCCGGAGGTTACGGAAAGGGGCGAGTATTGACGAATGAATTGGACTTGCCTAAATTATACGCATCAGAGGTAAAATTGATGTCCGCTGCCATTTCCTAGTATCGTTTGTACCATGTGGTTCTGTTATGTATGTTTACTACTCATCAGTTCATTATAAGAATACTTCCCGTGCGGGTTCGAACAGGTCTTCAGTAACCCATGCTGGTGGTAAGAGGCGACTAACGGGATTGGGTAGTCAGGCTCGCTGACTTGGTTGATGCATCCCAATTGCATCGTATCCCAGTTGTGTAGATCGATGGTCATGCTGTTGATCACTGGATTGTCTGGTCCTGACTCGATTATTTACACACTGCCGAGATATAGCTGGAATATTGCTGAGTGCGGCGTAAAACAAGAAACAAACAAACATCACTGGAAAGACAGCGTAGAACTATTCTCCATTCAGTTTTCACGTGGCGACTAACGGGATCGGGTGGTCAGACTCGCTGATTTGG